TTCAATTCATAATATATATTATTAGAAGTTATTGTATAAAATCTATATGTTTCAATTATACTCTCCATATCAATTTTAATAATAGTCAATCATTAAAAAGCGATAAAAAAATAATATATATTTTATATAAAATAATAAATTCTTTTTTTATAGTAACCTCTTGGTATTCAAAATTCACATTAAATTTCAATTAATTTTGAATTGAGTCTCGTTGGACCTCATAAGTGAAGAAACTTTCACAATACCTATTTGTTCATTTACAAAATCTAAACTTGAGATCTTATTTATAGGAAATCAAGTTTCTTCTATATAAAATATGAAATAATAAGTTTTGAGAATATAAAAATCATAAAATTTTATATTTAATTGATTAAGTTATATTGTAACTTTAAAAATATAATAAAATCAAATATCACATAGTAAATATAAAAATATAAATTATACAATTTTATATTAAAACAATTAAGTTACGTCATAACCTTAGATATAAAAGAAATAGAACCCGTAACAAAAATTAAACTTTCTGAAATTGAAAGGACTTTAGTGTCGACACTAATATCCAAGTGTTGGTACTTCTATTTATTTCACGCTGTACGTTTCTTTCAAAGGTGTAATGTATAGTGCTGACAGCACAATGCAGGTCTCGACACCATACCCGTGTCAGATTTCGGACCCTATTTCAATTTCTTCAATGGTGAAATGGCAAATCTAATTCTCCAACTTTTATATAATGAGCACTTTCATCCTGAAACTTTGTATTCATTCAATTGTGAGAAGAAATTTTCCTTCCAAGGACCTAAATGAATGAATCAAATTCTTACAATTCAGTCCCTTAACTTTTACAATATGTGTTCAATTAATCCTAAAACTCTTATTATTATGCATTCAAGTCATTTTCTATACAAAGAATGAAAATGATGTAAAATTTATTCAAAATCACATATTAGCCATTCAAATAGCAATAAAATCAAGGCTAAAATATATTAAGCATATAAAATGCATCTCATTACAAAACATACAAAATGATATGAAAATAAAAATGAGGAAAATGGCTTGGCAAGCTCCTTGATTTCACATTCCTTGCTCTATTCGCAAGCACCCTCTTCCTAAACATGGCTTCTACTTCCTTTCGCATGGGCAATAGAGTGCAAGGGAAATGACATGATGATTGAAGTCTTGAAGGAGTTGTTGCTTTATGTTTTTGGCTATTTTTTGTTAGGGTTTGTGACTTAACTTTTATTTTTATTTTTTATATTTTATTTGTTAAAAATTATTATTCTTATATAGATATTAAATTATTACCTAGTAAGTAATTTAATTTATTTAAACCTAGTTGAAATTTCAGTTATACAAGGACATGTAGTATATAAGTTAAACAAGTCAAATAGACATTTTAAGTAAATAATACTAAACCCCTGTGATCTAGCTTGATACTTATAATTATACTATTTTTATACCAACTATTATTTAGTTTTCTCATAATTTAAGTATAATACTTATCCAAACGAATATGATATTTTTTACTTTTAAGTAATAGGTTTCACCTCAAAACAAATCCAGTCCAACCCAATGGAAGAACTTGTAAAAGGCTTAGGCCCGGACCAGCCCAAAGAAAGAACTTTCAGGCGTAGGCCCAATTCAACTGAAGAAATAGTAGACTTTAAACAAGTAGCTAAAAACCCAACTCAACCCAATGGAAAATTTTTCACACAAAGCAGGATTCCTCTGTTAATTTCTAGGGTTTTTACCAGCAACTTCCATTTCCCTTTTTCTTACTCTGCCATTTCAACTAGCTGAATATGTAAACTGTTTTTGAGGATGAATTGTATATAGTTTATCATGCGAAATTAATTAAATGACCTTAAAAAAATAATATAAAAATAAATTTAAAAGAATTTAAATAATTTTATTAACAGAAATCTCTTCGCGAGAGTTAAGCAAAAAAAGAAAACATTTTTTTGTTTATTTCGGCGACCGTTTCACTCTCTACCTTGGGGGTGTGGGATTTAACTTGGAATTGAAAATTTGTGTGGATTTTGTTCACTTCAGGACTGCGTTTTCTTCGCCCACGAAGAGAGCAATGCTGTGGAGTGATGAGGTTGATGTTATCTCTTCTGATGAATTTTCTTCAGAAGCAGAGGCGGATGCTAATGATGGAACCAGTAATTCGCCTACTGAGCAACCACCCCAAGAATTGTCCCCTCAAGGTACTTTCAAGTTTCAAGATATGGGTTTCATCTCGCTTTTGTTTGAGTCTACAAATTTCTCATTTTCTTTCATGTCCTCTCACTGTCTTGCTCTTAGCAAGAAAGCAACATTTGACTGTAACAATGGTAATAGTTTCTAACAAGGTAATTAGTTGCCTTTTATAACTTAGATAAAATCTCATCTTTAGTTCTACAAGAAGTTTGGTGGTTGTTGTTGTGAGAATTGTAACTGTTTGGACGGGAAGCAAAAACACTAATGGCAATGGGTGCTATAGCTGTATAATGGGTTTTTTCTACTGTAACTGGCTGAAGGAACAGATTACCTGTCTTGTTCTTGTCTGCTTAATGATGTACCATTCACTAGCAATGTAATATGTGTTGAATCATAGAATTAGAATTAATTAGTAGTATTCTTTCATGGAAGAATTGTTCTTGTTTGTTTACTTTTGCTAGTGCTAGATATTGGGTTTAAAATCAACCTAGATGGGTGAGTTTTCTTTCTTTCTTTCTTTCTTTTTGTTTAAAAGGTGAATTTATTTATCCAATAACTGTCTATACACAAGCAAGCAGCAATTTGTTGCTGCTACAAAGAATAAAATGCAGAAACTATTTAATCTATACTGTCTTTGCCAAAGAAGTATATATCGTATCGTACCGGCCGTATCGGTTTTTGGAGTAGACTGAAACGGAGTAAGAAAGGATTTTGTTTTGGTCAAAATCTGATGATTTCGGTCAAATTTAGATGTATCGGCCGAAATTTTGGCATATCGACTGATTCACCGAAATTTAACCGGTACAATATGCAAGAATTTAAAAAAAAAAAAGATTTCCTGACCAAAACGACATCGTTTTGGCCAGCTCTGCAATTTCCAGCGCAAATCCTCCTCTGTTCTCGCGTCCAGCTATCTCTTGTCAATCTTCCATTTTTTAGTACAGTTGCCGCCTAC